TTGTGACTGGGGGGTTGCTACTGTGATCAAGTGTGTAGAGGCCTGAGCACTGCTCAGCATTCCACGATGTGCAGGACCCCCGCCCCCTCCGCCCTGGGCTGAGGAATTAACCAGCTCAAAATGTCAATAGTACCGAGACAGAGAAAAAACCCCACATGAAGCAAATCACTTTAGTCCTCTAGGTTTTTGGCTTCCCTGTCTGTAAAAGATTTTAATCATGTCTCAAAGACCCTCCACTAATAAGCTCAATATAATGACCAGCACTCAAGGCAGAAGGGGCGAGGCATCCAACACAGTTCAAGATGATTTAGAAACAGCATTTATTTTCAAACCCCTTTCACAAGACTCTGATGCAGAGACATGGTAAATGACTGACTTCAGAAAATCTGGCAAAAGAATAAAATGGTGGTCTCTGGGGTTCCCCAGTCAACTGGACTGTCAAACTCATCACACAGCTTCCGAGAGACAGTGTGTCATCGTGAGAAATGCCTGGCTGGAAATATTTGCTGAAGTTTAGGTCACAAACTACAACAAAACCTGTTTTTATCTAATCTGTTAGAGTGTGGATGAAGATTTTCTATTCATTTTCGCTTGCCTTTAGAGACTTGAGACACTTGAGTTCATCAAACAGTCCATTTGATTTTCTTCTTTGTTGCTAACTCAAACGTATTCTCTATAACTCCCAAGTCACAGCAACATTAAATAATTGATTGCATAGATCTACCTTTTGAGCTTTACAGATGAGTATCAAAAGTTTCCTGTCCCATGGAGATCTCTTAAGGAAAACGATAACATTGTATAGCATATTTTATTCATCTAGTACTGACTTGATTAATTACTTATTAGGGAATCACCCTTATCTACATGATCCTATAAAGTGTTATTTAAAATGCACTTTAAGAGGAATAAATTTAAATGGACTGGTTTCCCTCATGGTCCCATCAGAAGCGCAGGGAAGACACAAAATACAATGGTTAGTTGTTGAAAACGTGTGTGCTGTTTATATATGATTCTGTTGTGAGAAACATATGGGAAGGATTTGGAAGTCTAAGGCAAACCACCTTTCTCTCATGGCTTCCCAGGAAGCAAAGGTTACCAATTAGCATCTCTGTTGGAGCTGAGTTACCCTTACAAAATGCCAGTGCCACCGAGAGACCATACCAGTCAGAGATCACAGATATCCCTGAGCTAGCTATGCCAGACACTTGGTTGCAATCTGAAAGTTACTTGTATTTAACTGTATTGCATTTTATTCTACTTGATCTTTTTTATTCATCAGAATTTTATTTCTTGTATTTTTTTTTTCTTACATCGTTGTGGTCCTTAGTTTCCCCGCCACCGTATCACCCATGAACCATCACCATATTCCCTTGTGTTCACCCCACCCCTGTTTTGCTCCCCCACCCCTTCCATTGCTGTATACCTCAGTGCTGTGTTCAGATTGCTACTTTACTTTTATTTGACAAAATGTGTCGCTGGAGCAGGTAGGTGAGACCATCACCACCTCTTTTCTGTTTTATTTTGCAGTGGAGGTTAATTTGAGATGTTGTGAAAAGCAGAGGCAGAACACACACTTTCTACATTCAACACCTTTAATGAGCGAGAAAAGCCAGTTCTGTATCAAGTAAGCACCTAACTAAATAAATGGTGGGTAAGCAGGTGAATCTAGGAAGGATGATTGTAGTCAGGACACCTCATCCTCTGGAGAGGAGCACAGTCTATTGAAGGGACAGCATGTTGGACTGACCGAGATATAGCGCCCTAAACCACACCTATACCTGGGAAAGATTTATTTTTGTCCAAAGAGAAAATAGGAAGAATTCATTGAGTGTATGATCAAAGACTACTTTAAATAAAATTAAGAAGTAATTAACTACTAAATTCTCTTGGAACTCACACAGGAAGCATTGACTGAAAGAGCATGCAGGTAGCTCAAATGCCTTAAAAGCTTGCAAAACACAGGAAAGGCAGTATGTTCAACTCATATTAGAATTACTTTGATTTAAGGAGCAAGAAAGTAAAATGAAAGCTAATATGTGACTAGCAACCAAGAGATACAATTAGGTGTGTATTCTCCTAATATCTCAAATTCACTTTCTGTTAATTAGATAACATTTTTTATTTCATACTTCAGCCTCAGGATTTACAAAACATTATTTCATCCTAAGAATGTAACACCAGCAACAACAAAAACAATCTATATTGGTGAGAGTGATACATTACAGAGATGGTAGTGCCAAATTTTATGAGCAATTTCTTAAAGACTGAAGTAAAATTTTGGTGAAATATATATGAAAAATCAGGATTACTCATTCACTTCAATTGATTATCATTATGTAAAAATAAAAACAGCATGAATGTTCTAGACATTAAATAAATTTCATTTTGGTCATCAAAATAATCTACTATGAAAAACACTTATCTATCAGGGGAAAGATTAATAGTTAAAGATTCCTTATGTTTATAGCCTTGAAATGGAGGTGATAATGTCATAGAACATTCCAGATTCTTACTGCATAAGGATCTAGTCCACCTAAGAATAACCATTTATTGTCAATTAATTCCTGAGTATTTCATGTGAAAGACAGATATTCCATGACTTTTTCATTAAGTAAACAACCAAAAGTCTCTGGAATTGAAATCAGTGTGTGTTTTCGATTTGTTGGAGAGGGCTCAGGGATCCTAACATAGGTTTATGGAATCCCCAAGTTATGCATCTTCATGCTGCTCTGTGGGAAGCTGAACTTTGGTATTTTGGCTTCCCCACATTACCTTCCCACCTGTCACTGAAATTTCATTCTCCTTCTCTGGCCTTTCTGCTGGCTTCTGTTTTCCTCATATACCCTAAATATCTGTGCCTTCCTTAACATCGGACAAGTCATTGGCTCCTTACCCAATGTCATCTCCCTAGCAATTACTTTCTCTTACCGCACACCTCCATCTACCACTACTGTTAAAGTTCCATACTTCATGCCTCTGACACAGATAATGTATCTCTGCTAGCTCTTCTGTCAAATGTGTTCATCATTGTATTGTCAGTCCACACTTCCCTGGTAAATACATCACTTGAAGAAAACTCATCTAAGGAAAATAGAATGCTGGTGCCTTGAGTCACCAATCAGCTGGACTGTCAACCTTATCATACTGGTTCTAAGAGGCGATTTGATGCTTAGAAAATGTCTGGTATGCTTTGCTTTGGTTCTGGTCATGAACATGTTTTGATTATTTTATCTGTATAGCCGAGGGGAAGCCTCCCTCCACACATTTATATTGGCCGTAAAGCCCTCATGTACCTGCTTTCATCAGACAGTCCATTTGATGTTGTCTCCATGCTGCTTACTCAAGTACTTCTCTACAGACTCCAAGTCAACAAAAATATTCATTGTTTACAGATGACTCTGAAGTCAATCCTGCTCCCACTTTTGTTGCCCACATTTAACTGGGAAAACAATCGTATCATCATCTCTTAATGTGTGCTTACCTTGCACCAGGCTCAATAACCCTATGAGGTGTTGCTATTACAAACATATAGTCAGGAAACTCGTCTCCACAATGACCCATAACTTCTCTCAAGTTACACAGACAGTGTGAGCCAGGACTCAATGCCAGTGATGAATTCAAAGCCTCGCCTCCTGCCACAGTGCTACAGAAAGCAATGAGACTGTGCCTACCTGTTTTGATCATCTACTCATTTGGAGTCTATGTCATGCATACTTGAACTTCCTCACATAGACATTGTATGGTAGACAGAACTGGGTTTTAATCTCAAATCTCCTTGCCTAGTCCCACAGCTTTGCTGCAATTCCACAAGCCATGTTTTCCTCTTCTGTAAATAGTCTTAATATGTGTCTCACAGTGCTGAGGTGAGGATTAAGTCAGAAAAGTATGGTAGTGCTTGCCATATGCTCCTGGAAGTGTGTTCTTAGAGGACCATTCTCACTTTTGTCCCAAGACTCATCGGCCGCCCATCCTGCGCTGTCATAGCGGTATGTACGTAATCACCTCTTAACTTGATGAAATCTCCCTGAAAGCAGGAACCAAATTATTGACCAGTTGTCTCAAGGATCCAGCCTACTGCCTGGCACTCAATACATTTTTTTACCGGACACGAAGACTCCACCTCTATTCATTCAATAATTCAGTCAATAGCTACCCATGTAGGCATTTGTTGGCTTCCCAATCTTTTAGCTAATGAAACCTACAGTATTGTTCAACACTGACAAGCTCAACCAGTCCCTCCTGACTGGACTTTCCTGACCAGTTGTAGCTACCCCTGAAATACAGTACCAAAGACACATCACCATCAGTTCCAGTCCAATGGGTCCTGATACTAACAAACTGTACAGTAACTGTTAGGAGACAATTGAGGGGTGACAAAACTGGAGATTTATAAGGAACTCTTTATTTTTAGTTGTGATAAAATAGTGTTATGTCTTTAAAAATTCATTATTTAGAAATACAGAGTGAAATATATACTGAGGAAATGATATTATTGTCAGGGGGAAAGGATGTCCTGAGCTATCTGATTTATTTCAAAACAATCAAGGGTATTTGGGGGGATCTGTGGATAGGGATATAGGTGAAAGAATATTTGTCCTGAAAGGATAAGTAGTAAAGCTAGGTGACTATATGGCCTTTATGTATTAATTTATTTTGTATATATTGAAATATTCCATAATGAAAAATTAACAATAAACAATTTAAAAAGATCATTTTAAGGTCAAATATAAATGCTAATAAACATGTAGCCCAGAGGAATTCAGGTGACTTAAATGAAAGAAAGTGATTCAGAAAGATACTGTTTTTCATGGACTCAATCAGTAAATGAAACTATTTTCATTCAAAATTGAAGGCCAGTTCTAACCAAGTATATGCTAATGAAGAATTTAATAATATCTCTATATAGTGATTTTAAAAAGAACATTAACTCAAAATGTTTGCTTTTTCAAAGACCATCTCCTACTTTTTTTAACAAAAAGATTTATTTATTTATACAAGTACTGGGTACAGTCAGAAGCACAGGAGGGTGAGAGAATTCACCAGAGCCAGAGCAGGGAGCAGAACAGGCAGAGTGACGAAGTACACTGCTGAGGGGAGCAGCAGGCGGGAGGACCATCTCCTACTTTTTGACATCTTTTGCTGGACATTGACTTTGTGCAAATTCATATTAGAGCATGTGTTATCCAGACATATTTTATAAGAAAACAAACCTTTTTTTTTAAATCAAGTATTCTAGTTTATTTAACAATATATTTCTCATTAAAAACTTGGATTTCTACTATTTCTTCTTTTATTTTTTTTAATTTTATATATTTTTTACATCATTTTTCATTTTTGCACAAGAAAACAAACCTTTTTTTTTTCCCATGCAATGTTGACAGAAAGTTCTAATGAACTATGGGTAACTCAAATGTGACTATCGGAAAAGAATGATTTCTGAGCTCCTTAAAGCTGATAGTTGCGGCAGACAGACTCTGCCCCCAGTGTCCCTCCCCCTGATATTCATGTCCTTGTGCAACCCTTTCCCTCTTCGGTGGAATTTGTGACTTGCTTCTAACCAACAGAGTAAGGCAGAGGTGATCGGATGTTAATTTCATGGCTATGTTATATTAGATTATAATTTCCATCTTGCTAGCAAACTCTCCCTTGCTAGCTGCTGTGTCATGGCTGCCTACATGGCAAGGAACTGAAGTTTGTATCCAGTTGACATCTTGGAAGCAACTGAGGCTCCAGTCTAAAGCCCCAAAAGGAATTGACCAAATCTTGACAGCACCACCGTAAGTGAGCTTAGAAGGGTATTCTTCCCCATTGGGCCGCAGGTGAGGCTCTAGCCCTGGCCAACGTCTTGATTGCAGCCTCATGAGAAACCCCAGCCAAACAATGCCAGGATTAGTGATCCACAGAAATTGTGAAACAATAAATGACATTGTGAGTTTCTGGGATTGTGGCACTGTCATACGATGACAGATAAATATAATAATGATGGCAGTTCAGTAAGTGTCCATTACACTCTAAGTGCTAATACAGAAAACTAGCCAGCTACCTGTATGGAAGATTCTTGCTAAATACTCAAAATAACTGTGAGTTGAAGACTATTATTTCCATATAATAGCCAAAGGCACAGAAAATATATTTTCTAAGGCTGGTGTAACTGCTTACATCCAAAGTCCATATTGATGATCTCTTCTCTTTAATATCTAGCATTGAAAGAATAAATTGAGTTAAAAAGTAACATGAAAGAGAATGAATTTATGACTAAAACAAAAATATTCCATAAAACAGGTAAAATTACATCAATTTTCCCATGTCTAATCTAACACTTCTTCATATATGTACTAAACTACTAGATTTGATTTGATTTGATTAAAGATTAATTCATTTATGCATACAAGAACAGGGGGGTGAGAAGATTCACCAGAGACAGAGTGGGGAGCAGAACAGGCAGATCTACTGAAATACACTACTGAGGGAAGCAGCAGGGAGAGAGGAGAGGTCTGCTGTGCCCTGTGGGTCAGTTCCCTGGCCAGGGATCGAACTTGTGCTGTAGTGGCTGCCGATAGCTTCATAGTGCTGAGACTTAACCCCTTGGGCTACCAGGGAGGCCCTAAATTTTATTTTATTGATTTCAGATTGATTAGCCTTTCATTTCAAAAAATATTTATGAAATACAAATAAAGCCAGTAACCATCCTGAGTTTGTAAATACTATTTTAGTGTAACCATTACCTATGGACATTTTCTGTTGGAGGTGATGATGATGATTTTGGGATTTTTTTTTTACCCCACCATCTCTAACTGCCATTTTAAGTGTAAATACCTCTAATAAGAGTTATTAGAATATTAATTACAAAGAAAATACTTGCCTCTGACCAAATATGGAATTCATCCTAAAGGAAAATAAGACAGCTAGGAGGTAGGTTATTAGACAACAATAGAATGAAACATGGAAAGGGGAAAAGATGATAAACATGACAGAAATGATCACAAGGACATAAGGAAAATGAAAAGAAAATTAGAAAGCATGGGATAAAGCAATATTGACAGAATACTGGAGAATTTTCCAAGCCTAAAGAATTGTATCAATCCAAGTTTCAAGAAGTGCTCTGAACCCCAAGCAGAGTAAATAACAAAAATCATAACTAGATATCTCTGAATGACACTGCTAGAAACTAAACACAAGAAGAAAAATGTAAAACATACATAACAAATGACATATGGCCAGATAAGGAGGGATAAGAACATCAGAGCTAAACCCTCAACAAGAATGAAAAAGCCAAAAAAGGAGAATTTTTTTATACTGCCAATGAAAATAGACACCAAGTTAGAATTCTATACCTAAGTTAACATACCTTTCAAAAGTAAAAATCAATTCAGAACATGCACACTAAAAAACTGAGCAGATTCATTGTTAGCAGACCCACATAGCAGGGAGTTTTTCAAGAAAAATAATCTCCATCAGAAATAAGGTGGACAGAAATCTTTAAATCAATGGAAAATACATATGTCTGAAGACTGACCCTACAAAAACAATAATAAACTCCCATGGGGTTTAAAATACAGAGAAAATAAAAACCTGAGCTCAGATGAAAGTAAGAGATAACTGTGTAAAAAATGTTCACAGTAACATTTAAGAACAAGAAAATGAATTGGAGAAACAACCCAATCTTCAATAAGAAGGGAAGGGATAATGATGCTGAAGTCCTGATGACCCACCTTATAAGCAAGGACATGGATAAGCTACAACTTTATATGTCAGCATTAGTAAATCCTAGAAGCACTGGGTTGACTGAAACAAGATGGTGGTAGGGACCTTATGGTAACAGCCCTGGAAGCGGGGAATCCCATACTTCCAAAATACAAACAGCAATGTAAACCAATGTTACCTTGATAAAAATTAAAAATATTTTAAAAATATAACTACATGTAGTATGGCATCTTTATCATAAAGATAAAAAAATTGAATATACCATTTTAAGGATGCTTATAAATACAGTCATAGTATTACAGAAAAGCAAGAAAAAGCTAAAAAGTAAATTTGGCGAGGTGTTTAGCCATGGTGGGAAGGCCAGATTTCAGCTTAATCGAGAGGATAACAAAGATAAGGTCAGTGGTGTGGGGGGAGTTTTCTGGTCCCTAAGTTGGTTAGTGAGTTCACAAGTGCTCCTTTTATTATTAGGATTCCTATCATAGATAATTACGGTTCTTGTGTATGCACCAATTTTCTTTTGGGTAGTGAAGATAAATATTTATTAAGGACAATATCCAAATTTTGGAAAACTTTTAAAAACTTAGATATGTAAACATAATGCTTCCTGTTTGAAATGGCAGTACTTTGGAAAGAATTCAATTTGAACTGATCAAAAGCTTTTGCGTGTTTGACCACAGAACTTGTGTTCCCAATGACAAACACAAGTAACAGTTTCAATCAAGGTCAGCAAACAAACTTAATGAGACTAAAATATGTGGTGTTTGTAAAGATTTCTATAATTTAAGGATGAGTTTGATTTAAAGGTTAAAAAAAGGTTACGTTTACTGTAGCCATTCTCATTAGTCATAGGTTTTTGTTCTATAAGTGTATAAAATTTTGATTCAAAGACATTGATTTTAAAAGGAATGAAAACACAAATTTGGGTGATGAGAAGGGTCAAATAAAGTAGCTTCAAAGTAGAAAGCTAGGTAAAATGGAATGAAAAGGAAACAATAAGCATAAAAATGAACTAAATAAAATCAACTAAATATAAACATGAAAATAAAAGTTAACAAAGAGCAGTTAATAAATACCAAAAAGATAAAATAAATAGGAACACAAAAGGACAGAAATGAAAACAGGAATACTGAATTTTTCAACTACTAAGTCTCCATGGCTTAAAAATTGACAGCATGTAATTTAGCATTTTGATAAAACGGATATTTATTCTGGCCGTACCCCTGTTCTAGTGTCACATTGTGCTTGTTGCTGGTCATAGTCAGTTACTAATTTTTTAATGTGAACCAGCTTGTTGTAAAGATACTTGCATCTGTGTTTTTCTGCATTGTAATTGGGGTTGGCCTTCTTCATCTTCTCATACTCTAGGGTGATTTTTTTATTAATATCCTGAAATTCTTTTGAATCTGGTGAAAGCTGCTTCCTTTCTGAATCCAGCTTGATAAACACTTCCGATAAAGTGAGCATCTTGGCATACAAGGCCTGGTACTCATCGAAGTCGACTTTGAAGTCTTGCTCGTAGCGCCGCCGCTGCACAGAGTTGACGACCAAGACATAGTCAGCCAGGTAATCCTCGGACAGCGCGGGCCGCTCAGAGCCGAGGGAGACGCCCTTGACTTCCTCATGGCTGCTCGACTTTGCACCTTGACTTTCTTTCACAGGATGTGTCTTCCGTTTCTGCACCCTCTCAGGATTGTGCTTTCGGCCCTTTCCTTGGTCTTCAGCAAATTTACCTTTGCGCTTCTTCTCGGAAATGGCCCCTCTTCTCCCCCTGACCTTGGAATGCTTTGTTGGATGCGCAAGAGGGACTGCTGGCTCCATGTCAGAACAGTTACACCTCTGGGGCTTGAAGATTCTCCTTTTGTGACTAATAGTCTCACCACATGAATCTTGAATCCTGGGTCCTTCTGTTGTGCGAGGACAACCTCGGTGAGGAGGTACTGCAGGCCGAGGAGAGTGAGCTGTGGGAGGGGCAGCTGCAGGCTGCGGCGGAGAGGGACTGGTAGTAGCTACAGAGGGTGGCGAGAGACTCAAAGCAGGTCTTTCACTGCTCTTATTCAAAGTGCCTCGCCACATTGACTGGTCTGTCGTTGCCAGGTGAGATATTCTAATTTTTTTTCTCCTTGAAGGTGACTCGTAAAGTTGGGCCTGGGAAAGACTGACTGTGTTGTCTATACTGCAACCGAAAAGAGATGATGGGGCATCGGTGCCAGTGCCTTTTCTGGACAGCACCATCTCCAGCGACTGCCTGTCTAGCTCGCTGTAACCAGGCCAGTCCCTTTGGAGCTCTTTAAAAACATCATCCTTTAAGCTATAGGAACTGTCATTAGGATTGAAATCAGCTACTTGGTATAGAATTGTTGCAAGGGAATTCTTGTCATGGGAGGGAATGCCATCTTTCTGAAGTCGAATGAGCAGTTCATGTTTCTTATAGTTCTTCAAAGCCAACAAGTGAATCACCCTGTCCCTATACGAGCGCTGGTGCACAGTGTTGGCAACCCTAGATTTTCGAATTGTGTAGGCCGGGTTAATGGGCGCTGTTCTTTTCCTCTCTGGCACGGGATCAGGAGTGGTTTGAGCTGCTTTCCGAATTGGCACCCTTATCCCTGCACGTGGTTTTTGAATCATTTTCTCTGTGTTGCCGGATTCCTCCCTTCCCTGGGCCTTCCCTGCCTGTGCCATGGGGTAAGAACTGCTTGGCTGGCACGCTATGGTGTTATCTAGCATGAAGTGCAGACTGCTGTCCTGGGAGGTACTGTCGCTGGAGATGCTTTGTTGGCTATGGCCTGGATAGTATTCTCCACTCATACCTGGCCACTGAAAGTTAATATTGAACATGGAACTGGGTGAATTGTCCAAGGGGGGGTCAGTAAGCCCTGGGAACCCTTGAAACTGCAGGGAAGTGTGAGGACTGACTATGTTTTCCTGGTATTGGTAATAGTCCGGTGGCTGCAGGGCAGCACCGGTGAGCTGCATGGAGAGCTCAGATTCAGTGCTGCCCAGCCTTGGCTCTGCCCAGTACAGCTCCTCCAACGGCAGCTCTCCATCCTGGTACATCATTCCGCCCACCGCCTCGAAGGCTGCCGTGGGGTCGTATCTGTAAAGATCAAAGTTTAAACTGTGAGACTTGAGACAGAACCAGAACCGGGATTGGCCTTGCCTTTTGTAAAACTAATTCTAACAGGTTTTGTCCCAAGGGCACAAAGGCCTTGCCTGATGGAGACAGAACCGTGGACAGTAGAGGTTTAGCTTTTCTTCGGGAGGAACTGCTAACCCCAAAGGGGAAATGCTGGCCTCTCTCTCCTTTGATATTGAAACATATTATTTTGTGCTAATGGCATGTAGAAGCCAACATTTCAAAGTTTCTGGTTTCTCTGTCTTGACTTTCTACCCATTGCTAATGAATGGAAGCAATTTCCACCTCCTTTGCTGCCACTTAGGAGTGTCATTCTGCCGTTTTGCCCTCCCGCTTCAGAGGATGCTCAGCAAATCACAGGATTGCCTAGGTAAAATTGCCACTGCTGAAAAAAATCGTGCAGCAGACTATACTAGGGGTATGCAATTTAATTACAGAGAGTACACAGACTATGAAAAGACCAAAAAATAGAAGGCCCAACTCGCTCACCTTTTCTCCTGGCAGTCCCAGTCAATCCTATTCTCAGAAAACTACTTTAAATGATGGTACCACTTTCCACCTTGTCACACAAACTGGAAATCTCAGCAGAATCTTCTTCCTCACATATTTTTCATTAATTTCCCTCTAAAATATCTAGTCAGCCACCAACTTTCTCAGTCATGCAGTAGATACCTGTTATGTGCAGACAGTGTCTAGATACTTGGAGATGCTGTAATGAGCAAAACAGAATCAAAAATTTTGCTCTCTTGATGCCTATAATCCTTTTCTCCCTCCATTAATTGTGTAGATTGATTTTTAAAAAAATATTTATGCATATAAGAACTGGGGTTCAGGCCAGAGGTGCAGGGGGTGAGAGGACTCACCAGAGACAGAGTGGGGAACAGAACAGGCGGACCGACTGAAATACACTGCTGAGGGGAGCAGCGGGGAGACAGGAGAGGTCCGCTATGCCATGTGGGTCACCTCCCTGGCTGGGGATCAAACTCAAGCTACAGTGGCTGCTCATAGCTTCATAGTGTTGAGACTTAGCCTCTTGTGCCACCAGGGAGGCCCCTTCGTGTAGACTGATTTTAACTCAGTTTGGTACGTGATGATGCCTACAATTCTTGTCAAGTTTTTCTTCATAACATATTAAACCAACCCTTTGCTCTCCCACACCACAGCGATTGTCCTATATTAAGTCAATAACATCCCAGGTATTACACTGTACTCTTCCTAGGTTAGTTTCTTGCCTCCAGTCTTTTTTTGTTCTAAAGCATTTTCTAAGTTATCAACAATGATTCCAATTGTGCTTTACAACAAGCGATGCTTCCTATCACTTAAGGGATGAAATAAATGGAAATATGCTTAACAGTAATCGTCAGGGAAATGCAAGTCAAATGCCACAGTGGCACTACCTCACATCTGAGAAAGTAGCATAGTGGGTACTGGGAACTGAGGAGTTAGGGGCAAAGGGGGGTTTTTAAAGACTACAAACTTCCAGTTATAAGATGAACACATTCTTGGGATCTAATGTACAGTAATTATATTTAATAATACTGTATTATATAACTGAAATTTTCTGAGTATGTGTTAAATGGTCTCATCACCGAAAAAGGCAATTAGTAACGTGATACAGGATTAGCTAATGCTATGGTGGTAATTATTTTGCAATATATCAAATCAACACGTTGTACACCTTAAACTTACACAGTGTCGTATATCAATTATATCTCAAAGCATGCAGAAAAAGCAGAAAAAATTTAACTGCTTGGTTTGGTATAAAAGACCCTTTTTATCCTGCTTACAGCTTAGCCTAAAGAATATTTACTACTAAAATTATATCACATGTTTGTTTAATGTAAGTCACACTCGCAAGAATATGAACTTAATGAAGGCTTGGATTCTGCAAGTCTTTTGTACTGTACATTTCCTGTTCCTAGCACAGTGCCTGGCATACACAGTAAGCACTCAATCATGTGTGTTGACTTAATGAACGTGTCAGTGCTCTCTACTTCTAAATCTCATTCATGTTTGGTTCAGCCAGTTCAATTTCTACTCAGCCTTAGAAACCCAGCTCAAGAATTGCATCATACATAAGATTGCCTCTAGTCAAAACAAATCCTTCCCCTGATTGTAATTCCAGAGCAGTCTGCATTGCCTCTATGAAAAATACTTAGGACATGGGGCATCATAATTACTTATGTGTTCATCTCTGTGATGAAACGCTACATACATGACAAGTACCGTCTACTCAAATTTCACCCTTGCTTCTTGTCCCCAGTAAACACACTCTAGAAGTGGCAGGTGTATAGCAGAGGGCATGCTCTAAATATTTGTAGGAAGCATGAATAATAATAACACCTTGGCCTTTCTCTCAGCAAAGATATGTTACCATCACATCAAGGGGTTATGTTTAGTCTGTTAATGTCAGAGAGATTTTCTGTTCTAGACTTTTTTCATGTTCCTCTAAACTTCACAGTATATTTGTATCTCAGAGTGAAATCATGGTTACAGAGGATGCAAAATACTTTGAAAAACCAAGGAAGCACTGAAGTATATTCAGCAATATTATGTTCTAATGTATGCACAAATGCTTTGAATCTTCCTGGAGACCTCTGTTAGACACAGAAAGAAGTATATCCTTTAGTATGTTTAACTCTGTACCCTCTCAAGAATAATAAAGAATTTCCAAATAGTTGTATTCCCAGCGGAAATAGCAAAATATGTGCCTTAGCAGGAAACTGGAAGGGGACACATTAGGACTGAAGTGTAGAACTATATTAATAGGCAGAAGGCTTGAACAATTTGAAGAGAGATTTCATGATTTCTGAACAGAAAAAGGAATATTGTAAGGACGCCTAATGCTAACAGATGACTATATGAATTTAGTATGATTACACTGAAGATGAACAGGAGTTTTGGCTGAAATCTGCCATAACTATTCTAAAAGTCAGCTGTGAGAAGATCTAAGAGCTTCACTAAGGTGACTATCACCCCTACCTGGTATTATATAAACCCCAATAATTCAGAGTGAGGAACTAGTACAAGGAGACATAGCAAGTGAGTGAATGTGAGCAGAAATCTGAGATACAGTCCCAGGGGTTCATAGATGGTGTAAAAGACCATCAGTAATCAAGGTAGAAAGGGTGATCACGCCTTTACCACTCTGATCACTCAAATCTAGCGAATGAGACTTCCAAACCCCAAACTCTGACCAATCCACCGAGCTAGATCAGGAGCCAGCCTGCCCCTTTATCCCAAGTGTCCTCGGATATCTGACAGCCATTCCGTGGCCTGTTCGTTGGCTATGTAATAAAACACAACAGTAACCAATTCAATCTGATTCAAATAACCTTTGCCAGGTATTAAAGCTCTTGGGGGCCTCACCTATCCATTGGTCCTGGTCATCTGCTCATGTGCCTCCTCACTGCCCTGAATTGCCTGTCCTTGTAATTACCCACATTCACAATCTTAGATCTATGACATCACAATCCCTTCTGACACTGTCCACCTTCCACCTTAAAGTGAAACTCCCCAAGAATATTACTTTATCTACAACCCTTTCAAAAGCGACTTGTTTTCTCTGACACTTCATACCTCAGGGTTAGGAAGTAAAAACATTTGTTTTCTTGCTTTCCAGTGATATCATGAGAACAATCAATCATTCATTCACATTCATTATTCTTCTTGGGTGGTACAAACCATCTCGTTATAACCTCATACCAGCGAACTGCTCACTGGTCTACTCTGACATTTGATCACTCTTTTCCCCTAGGGCCTTCAACCATGACTGAGCTTTATTTGATCCCTAAAACACACTAGTCTCGTTGCCACCTTGGAGACTTCGTGTATGCTGGCCCCATGCTTGCAGTGTTCTTTCTACCAATCCCTTTCTTATGCCTCCACACACAACTGTCTCTGCTGATGAAGCTCCTCCTTCTCCTCCTAATTCCAATTTTAAATACCCTTAATAGTGTGTCCTTCAGTCAGAGACCCAGCAAGAAACAGATGGCAAATCCAAACAAGGACAATTAAAGGATGACTTAGCTAAGACATTACTTCCAAAAATGTGGACACTTATAGGGAAACATCAAGAGACTGCATGTCCCCAAGCCTGGCGGTAAGGAAGGAGAGAATCGTATGGTAAGCATGGCCTCCCTCTGCCTGCTTGCGTCTTCTCCTTTCCTGATCAGCCTTTTCTTTGAAATATACATTCATACATACACACACATGTATCTCTTCCTCTGGCTCCATGTATGTGTGTGTGTACGCGTGCATGTGTGCAGGAAAGAATTATGTAGTAAGCGTGGGAAGCACAAATGCAGTGACAGATGGGGAAGGGGCAAAACCAGGCTGAGAGGGCCACACAGCAATGGAGCTAGAGGAATGAACAGCTCTCTTTTCTCTCTGCATCTGATCTATGAGTAACCACACTGGCCAGTCGGAACGGGAAGTCAGAGAACACTCAGTGGGCCACAGATTCAGTGTCTTGCAACAGAGCAAATGTCCACTGACACTCAGAAACAAGTCACTTTTCCCTGTGAGACAGCATTGTAGCACTATTTTCTTTCAGAGAATTAAACCTACACCCAGTTCCTTTCACTATTATCATTAGATTTTAAACTCTTTGAAGGAAGAGTATGGCTTTTATATTTTATATCACCCCAAGTTGTAGCCCATAAGCACAAATGGGCAACAGTCACAATTCTGTGGGTACACATATGCCAGTAACTGCCATGACACTACAGATTATGCTAATGACATTTAATGACTTTGACAGGCAATATTTCCACTAAAATTTGAAAGCACAGACTTGCACATATTATTCTCTGGCTTCCAGTCCACGCTGCTATGAATCTGTCTGCACTGAGAACAGATATACCTTATTCATCAAGTGACTTCGTGGTGCTGCTAACTTTTTGACTCTGGACTTCATAGCCTTTTTTAATAATCTCTTTGACATTTAAATTTCTTCTTTC